GCATAGCCTTGGATCAAACCTAAGCAAAATTAAAGTTCTGTTACCATGTTACCTCAAGTTTAAAAGCTGCTTCTTTCAGAGAGAACCCAAATAGATAGAATCATGAATGAGGAGAGATCACAACCAACACCACAGAACTACAAACAATTATCAGAGAGTACTATGAGAAATTATATTCCAACAAACTGGACAACCTGGAGGAAATGGACAAATTTAGACACCCATACACTACCAAAGCTCAAATGGGAAGAAACAGATAATTTGGATACAGCCATAATCAGTGAAGAAATTGAATCAGTTATCAAAAATCTCCCAACAAATAAGAGTCCTGGGCCAAATTGCTTACCAGGAGAATTCTACCAGACATTTAAGGCAGAGTTAATACCTATCCTTCAAAAAATAGAAACAGAAGGAAAGCTTCCAGACTCATTCTGTAAAGCCAGTATTATCCTGATTTCCCAAACCACTTAGAGACCCCACTAAAAAGAATTATAGGCCAATACCCTGATGAACATGGATGCGAAATTCTCAACAAGTTACTAGCAAATCAAATTCAACAATAAATTAAAAGAATCATTCACCATGATCAAGTGAGATTCATTCTTGGGCTGCAGGGCTGGTTCAATATTTGCAAATCCATCAATGTGATACATCACATTAATAGAAGAAAGGATAAGAACCACATGATCCTGTCAATAGATGCAGAAAAAGCATTTGACAAAATACGGCATCATTTCTTAATAAAAACCCTCCTGAAAGTCGAGATAGAAGGAACATACCTTAACATCATAAAAACCATATATGAAAAGCCCACAGCTAATATCATCCTCAATGGGGAAAAACTGAGAGCTTTCCCCTTGAGATCAGGAACACGACAGGGATGTCCACTCTCACCACTGTTGTTTAACATAGTGTTGGAAGTCCTAGCCTTAGGAATAAGACAACATAATGAAATAAAAGGCATCCAAATTGACAAAGCAGTCAACCTTTCGCTTTTTACAGATGACATGATACTCTACGTAAAAAACCCAAAGACTCCACCAAAGAGCTGCTAGAACTGATACATGAATTCAGCAAAGTTGGAGGATACAAAATTAATGTACAGAAATTGGTTGTATTTCTATACACCAATAAAGAAGCAACAGAAAGAGAAATCGAGAAATCGATCCCATTTACAATTGCACCAAGAACCATAAAATACCTAAGTATAAACCTAACCAAAGATATAAAAGATAAGTATGCTGAAAACTATAGAAGCTTATGAAGGAAACTGAATAAGACACAAATACTGAATTAATTTTATTAATTTTTTTTCTTCCTCTAAAATAACAAAAAAAGAACAGGAAGAAATGACAGCCAGGTCCTTGACTGGTCAATGACGGGTCAAATGACACATAGATATAAGCAATTTAGTGTCTGAACTAAAATTTAGTACCATGATAATAAAAATACTAGCTGGGATTGAGAAAAAGCATAGATTCCTTTCTGCAGAGATAAAAGAAGTTAAATCTAGTCAGAACAAAATTAAAAATGCTATAACCAAGATGCAGTCTCAAATGGATGCCACAATGGCAAGCCTGGACAAAGCAGAGCAGCGAATCATCTATATAGAAGGCAAAATTATGAAGAATAATGAAGCAGAAAAAAAGAAGGAAACAAAGGCTAAAGATACAAGACTTAGAGAACTTAGTGACTTATTAAGGAGGCATAACATCTGAATAAGAGGAGTCCCAGAAGATGAAGACAGAGAAACATGGGCAGAAGGTTTAGATGAGCTAATTATAGCAGAAAACTTTCCTAATCTGAGGGAGGACATAGACATCAAAATCCAAGAAGCACAGCCTACTCCCATCAGATTCAACAAAAACTGACCATCCCCATGGTGTATCATAGTCAAATTCACAAAATACACAGACAAGGAAAGAATTATGAAATAAGCAAGGGAAAAAAAGTCCTTAACCAATAAGGGAACACAGATCAGGGTCGCAGCAGACTTATCCACAGAAACTTAGCAGGCCAGAAAGGATTAGCAGCATACATTCAACTTACTGAATAAGACAAATATGCAGCCAAGAATTCTTTATCTGGCAAAACTGTAATTCAAAATAGAAGGAAAGATAAACAGTTTCCCAGAGAAACAAAAACTAAAGGAGTTCATGATCACTAAGCTATCCATGAGTGGAGAAAAGATGATACAAACCAAAAAAGAACAAAAGCAAAAAAAAGACTAGAAAGGACCAGGGAACATCACCAGAAACACCAACTCTACAGGCAACACAATGGCACTAAAAACATACCTTTCAATACTCTAAATGTCAACGGACTAAACACTCCAACCAAAAGACATAGGGTATTAGAATGGATAAGAAAATGAGACCATATATTTGCTGCTTACAAGAGACTCATTTTAGACCTAAAGACACCTCAGATGAAAGTAAGGGGATGTAGAACAATCTATCATGCTAATGGTCCTCAAAAGAAAGCTGCAGTAGCCATACTTATATCACACAAAACAGATTTTAAAATAAAAACTGTAACAAGAGATGAAGAAGGGCATTATATCATAATTAAAGGATCTATCCACCAAGAAGATCTAACAATTGCAATACTTATGCACCCAACGTGAACAACCAGATATATAAGTCAATTAACCACAAACATAAAGTAAGTCATTCATAACAATACCATAATAGTAGGGGACTTCAACACCCTATTTATAGCAATGGACAGATAATCTAAGCAGAGAATCAACAAGGAAACAATGGTTTTAATAAAACACTGGACTGGATGGAGTTAACAGATATATTCAGAACATTTCATCCTAAAGCAGCAGAATGAACATTTTTCTTGAGTGCACATGGAACATTCTCCAGGATATATCACACACTGGGACACAAATCAGCCCTCAACAAGTACAAAAAGATCGAGATCATGCCGTGCATATATTCAGACCACAACACTATGAAACTTGAAATGAAGCACAAGAAAAACTTTGGAAAGACAACAAATACTTGGAGACTAAAGAACATCCTACTAAAGAATGAATAGGTTAACCAGGAAGTTAGAGGAAATTAAAAAGTCATGGAAGCCAATGAAAATGACAACAACACAGTCCAAAACCATCTTTTTAAAGACACTTTTCCAAAGAGGACATCCAGATGGCTAACAGACATATGAAAAGATGCTCAACATCACTCATCATCAGGAAAACACAAATAAAAACCACAATGAGATACCACCTCACACTGGTCAGAGTGGCTAAAATTAACAACTCAAACAACAGATGTCGGTGAGGATGCAGAGAAAGAGGAACAGTTTTGCACTGCTGGTGGGAATGCAAACTGGTGTAGCCACTCTGGCAAACAGCATGAGGTTCCTCAAATATTAAAAATAGAAGTACCCTACAACCCAGCAATTGTACCACTAGGTATTCATCCAAAGGACACAGGAGTGTTGTTTCAAATGGGCTCATGCACCCCAAAGTTTATAGCAGCATTATTGACAGTAGCCAAAATATGGAAGGACCCCAAATGTCCATCAACCGATGATTGGATAAAGATGATGTGGTATGTACATACAATGGAATGTTACTCAGGGATCAAAAGCATGAAATCTTGCCATTTGCAACAATATGGATGGGACTACAGTGTATTATGCTAAGCAAAATAAGGCAGTCAGAAAAAGATACAAAATAGATGGACATAAAGGAAGGGAAGCAAAAATAATATAAAAACAGGGAGAGAGACAAACCATAAGAGACTCTTAAATACAGAGAACAAACTGAGGGTTGCTGGAGGGGTGTTGGGTGGGAGGGTGGGCTAAATGGGCAAGGGGCATTAAGGAGGACACTTTTGGGGATGAGCACTGGGTGTTTTTCTTCTGCTGCCACAGCTTCCTATCTTCATATATGAACTTATTTTCATATAGATAACCTACCTCTGCTTTTCATACCCAAACTAGATCCAAAGAAACATTGTAACCATTGTCTAATATTGGTTTTCACCATTGCAAATAAGGAACTTCGTTTTTCACATCAAAGTGTGCCCTCTCCCAATGAGAAGTGGATTTTTCTGGTTCTTTTGGCAATCTACAACCAAGGCATCCTCTCTTTGCTTCTTCTTGAATGTCCTCCCCAACTCTTCTCTATTAATTTTTGTCAATCTTTTCTCCAGTTTCACCTAGGATTTAGCTGTTCCCTGATTTTGCTTTGAAAATGAGATTGTATCTTGTTTTTCTTTCTCCTCATTCTATTTGGATGACTTCCAGGAATACAATAAGCAAAATGCCAACTTCTACTTCCATCTTGGAACTGGAAGTCCATTGTGGTGACTTGCATTTTATTTTATGCTTAAGTCACTCCACACTGCTTGGAGTTTACCCAACACGCCATGAACTTTCTTATCTTTTTGTCTTTTCTCCTATATGTATTTCCACCTGAAATATTCCCGGCACCATTTCTCGTAAATGCTTTTATCTAGCCAATTTATCAGCTAAAACTTAGGTGCAGCTCCTGCAAGAAATCTTCCTGACAGCTTCTTCTTTCCTTGGTTAATCCCTAACATTAGATATGATAATTTATCTACTCTTTATGAGGCCTGAGTAGTTTTGCATGTCTACATTTACCTTACTGCTACCTGCATTATTTATTGTTATTCTGTTGTGCTTTTATCTCCCAACCATACTAGGCTTCTTGGGAACAGTGACTGCATCTTTGGCAATTTTGTATCCTCAGGCTGGAAAAAAATGTTAGGTCTGTGATAAGCAATCAATAAAACTAATTTAATGAATAAATACACACATTATTTAGAAAGAAAACACTCAAATTATGTGATCAGTAACATAACATTCCTGAGGATAAAAGAATGCATTCATTTAGAATTTAGTTTTTAGAACATTTATAAATAATTATACGTATTGATATAACTATAAAATTTAGCAATTCAGCTCAGGAAACATAGTTTTGTGTAAATAAGATTACAATAAGTGAATCCATTCATTTCTCAGAGATTTCCATAGAAAGTTTATTTTCTATTCAAGGGGAAATGTAATTTTTGTTGCTTCTAGTAACCCACACTAGCCCTGTGATCTGTCAGCAAGTAATGCTATTTCTGTGTTTTGCATCCTCATCAGTAATAATTATTGCAATTGCATCTTAGTTGACAATTCTTGGTCTGCCGTGTAAGAGAAACATTTTATTATTCTTTCTGCAATAAATAACAGGAAAAATTAGCCTTTTAATAATATAAAAATAAGTGTTACTTTCATGTAATCTAGTATCAGATATCTTAACATCAGGTTTAAGGGTATAATATTTCACTTTAACTTCTTGGAAATATATCTCTGACATTTAGGATAAACCTATCATATGTCTTTTTCAGTTTTGCATGAACAAAACCTCCCTGAACTTGGTTGTTTAGTTATTCTAAAAAACCTTTTGGAAACAAAGACAGACACATGAAAAATCACATCACATAATATTTCTGTTTTTGTTTGCTTTGAAGAGAAGGTAGTACTAAATAAACTATATACTATAAAAAGTAAATATAAGGAGCACATTTTATTGTTCAACCAAATGGAAGATACATTAAAACAAATTAAATACATGCTTATTGTTGGGAATAATCAAAATTATGTTGCATGATAATTATTTATAAAAGATAATTTCTAATATATCCACAGGCACTTTATTTGTGTATGGACAAATAGAAGGTAACTCTGTGGGTATTTTATATTATGTTTGATTAAGTATATTTAGTGCTTAAACAGGATTATCAGTATATATGCTAGAGAATATGTTTTCTATCTTTAATTCCTAGAAAAAGATAGAGTTTTCAACAGAGAAATCAGTTAAGGTTTCTACTGTGACATAAAACTGATACCTTTATTAAACTGCTCCAACAGTTTCTTATTTTTTTTTAAATTTTTTTTCAACGTTTTTTTACTTATTTTTGGGACAGAGAGAGACAGAGCATGAATGGGGGAGGGGCAGAGAGAGAGGGAGACACAGGATCGGAAACAGGCTCCAGGCTCCGAGCCATCAGCCCATAGCCTGACGCGGGGCTCGAACTCACGGACCGCGAGATCGTGACCTGGCTGAAGTCGGACGCTTAACCGACTGCGCCACCCAGGCGCCCCAGTTTCTTGTTATTTTTAAACAATGCCAGCTCTACTATCCTTCAAGTAACCATAGTTAAATAAACTCCTTAACCTGAAGTTGTTTAAATATCTTTTGTATATGGTGTGGGTTCGTGGTCTTGGTACAATTCTGAGAGGGAGAGGAAGACAGTAGCAGATATCTCACTAAATTCCCAGAAGTGAAACAAATGGGAAATGTTAGAAATGGGATGCAATCATCAAGAATAAACAAAGGTCACCACATTTATCATGAATTCAAGTAATCGTTCAACACTATAATAGTGTAAACTTAGAAAATTCTCACAGAGGTTTAAAACAAAATTTAAGGAAACTATGAGCACTTTGATAAAACTCTTCGATAGTAAGATGGCTAATAGTTTGGTATCCTTCATGTATATGTATTATCTTGCTTAGCCACGAGGAAATCTAGTGATGATTAAGAGCTCAGTATCTTTGGCAAATTGCTTAAACCATTTAGCCTTAGTTCTCTCATCTGTGAAACTGGGATAATTATAGTATCTACTTTTTTCTAATTTTATTGAGAAATAATTGATATACATCACTGCACAAGTTTAAAGCCTACAGCATGATGGTTTGATTTACATATATTGTGAAATCATTACCATAATAGGTTCAGCTAACACCCATCTTCCCATGTAGGTACAATATAAAGGAAAGAAAGAAGAAAAAGGAAAAAAAAAATACTCCTTGTGATGACAGCTCTTAAAATTTACTCTCTTAACAACCTTCCTTTCTATCATACAGAGTCTCAGCTACCAGTCATCATGTTGTACATCACATCCCTTATACTTATTTATCTTATAGCTTAAAGTTTGCACGTTTTGACCAACTTGTTCCAACTCCTCCTCCCCCAACCCTTTGCCTCTGGTAACTGCAAGTCTGATCTCATAGAAACTCATATGAGTTTGGTGTGGTGCTTTTGTTGTTGTTGTTGTTGTTGTTGTTGTTGTTGTTTTTAGATTCTGCATGTAAGTAAGATCATACAGTATTTGTCTTTCTCTGTCTGACTTACGTCTCATAGCATAATACCTTCCAGGTCTATCCATGTTTTGCAAATAGTAGGATTTTTCTCATTTTTTCATGGCTACAGACCAAGAAATCTGAGGAATATGGATTCAATAGTAGTGTTATTCTTGGTTTCCTTATCAAATATTAGTTGATCATATATGCTTGAGTTTTACTTATTTATTTATTTTTTAAAGTTCATTTATTTATTTTGAGAGAGAGAGTGGGGAGGGGCAGAGAGAGAGGGAGAGAAATAATCCCAAGCAGGGTCTGCCCTGTCAGCACAGAGCCCATGTGGGGCTTGAACCCATGAACTGTGAGATTTAAGACCTGAGCCAAAACCAAGAGTCTGATGTTCAACTGACTGAGTCATCCAGGCACCCCCATGCTTGAGTTTTATTTATGGATTCTTGGTTGTGTTCCATTGATCTATTTGTCTATTTTTATGCCATTACTATACTGCTTTAATTTCTTTCTTTTTTTTTTTTTTTTTAGTTTTTATTTTTGAGACAGAGACAGAGCATGAGTGGGGGAGGGGCAGAGAGAGAGGGAGACACAGAATCTGAAGCAGGCTCCAGGCTCTGAGCTGTCAGCACAGCACCCGATGTGGGCTCGAACTCACAAACTGCGAGATCACGACTTTAGCAAAGTTGGACGCTTAACCCACTGAGCGACCCAGGTGCCCCAAATTTCTATAGCTTTATAGTATAGCTTGAAATCAGGAAGTGTGATGCCTTCTGCTTTGTCATTCTTTCTCGGGATTTCTTTGGCTATTCAGGATCTTTTGTGGTTCCATATAAATTTTAGAAGTGTTTTTTTCTAATTCTGTAAAAAAAAAAATGCCATCAGAATCTTGATAGCTATTACATTGAGTCTATAGATGGCTTTTGGTAGGATTCACATTTTAACAATATTAATACTTTCAATCCATGAACACAGGATAGCTTTCCACTTATTTGTGTTTTCTTCATTTTCTTTCATTATGTCTTATGGTTTTCAGAGCAGAGATCTTTCACCCCCTTGGTTAAATTTATTCCTAAGTATTTTATTGTTTTTGATGTTATTGTAATAGGATTGGTTTCTTTACTTCTTTTTCAGAAAATTTGTTGTTAGTATTTAGAAATTCTACTGAATTTTGTATGTTAATTTCATATCTTGCAACATCACTGAATTCACTGGTAAGATCTAACAGGTTTTTGGTGTGTCTTCGGGATTTTCCATATATCAAATCATGTCATCTGCAAATAGAGGCAATTTTACTTCTTCCTTTCCAATTCTGATACATTCTATTTCTTTTTCATGCCTGATTACTGTAAGTAGGACTTTCAGTACTATGATGAATATTAGTGGTAACTATGTTGAATATGAGTGGTAAGAATGGGCACCCTTGTCTTATTCCTAATCTAGAGGAAAAAGTTTTCAACCTTTAACCATTGACTATGATTTTTGGTAGGGGTTTGTCATATATGGCCATCATTATGTTGACATATGTTCCCTTTATGCCTAAATTGTTAAGTTTTTTTTTTTTATCATGAATGGACATTGAATTTTGTCAAATGCTTTTTTTGTATCTATTGTGACACTTATATGATTCTTTTCTTTCATTCTGTCAGTGTGAGGTATCACAATGATTGGTTTGCATATGGTGAACCATCCTGTGTCCCAGGGATAAATCCCACCTGATCATGGTGAATGATCCTGTTTATGTGCGGGCGCATTTGGTTTGTTAGCACTTTTTTTTTTTAGAATTTTGAATCTATACTCCTCAGATTTCTTGGTCTGTAGTTTTCTAGTTGTATCCTTTTCTGGTTTTGGAATAAATATAATCCTGGCCTCATAAAATGAGTTGGGAGTGTTCCCTTCTCTTCAGTTTCTTGGGATTTTGAGGATTGGTGCTAATTTCTTATTAAATGGTAAAATTCACCAGTGAAGCCATCTGGTCCTGAACTTTTCTTCTTTAGATTTTTGGTTACTAATCCAATCTCTTTACTAGTAATTGGTTTATTCAGATTTTCTATTTCTTCCTGATTCAGTCTTGATAAGTATATAGCAAGTATTTCTGAGAAATTTTCCATTCTTTTTGATTGTCTAGTTTGTTGGTATATAGTTGTTAATAGTAGCCTCTTAGGATCCTTTATATTTTTGTGTTATTTGTTGTAATATTTCATTTCTCATTTGTAAGTGTATTGATTTGGGTCCTCTTTTTTTTTTTTTTTTCTTGGTTAGTCTAGTTAAGGGTTTGTCAATTTTGTTTTTCTTTTCAAAGAACTAACTCTTAGTTTGGTTAATCTTTTCTATTTTTTTTTCTTTAATTTACTTCTATTCTAATCTTTATTATTTCATTTCTTCTGCTAATTTTGGTCTCAGGTTTTTCTTTCTCAAGTTTCTTAAATATAGAGTTAGGTGACTTATTTGGTATACTTTTTGCTTCTTACTGTAGGCATCTTTTTCTATCAACTTCCCTCTTAGCACTACTTTCACTGCATCCCATAAGTTCTGAAATGTTGGTTTTTCATTTTCATTTGCCTCAAGAAACTTTTTTATCACCATTTTAATTTCTTCTTTGATCCATTGGTTGTTCAGGGGAGTGTTGTTTAATTTCCATATATTCATTAATTTTCCAGTTTTTCTTCTTGCTGTTAATTTCTAGTTTCATGCCATTGTAGTCAAATATGATACTTAGTATGATTTCAGTCTTCTTGGATTTGCTAAGACTGGTTCTGTAACCTAATATATGGTCTATCCTAGAAAATATTCCATGTGCCCTTGAAAAAAATATGTATTCTGTTGTTGGGTAGAATGTCTGTATATGTCTGTTAGGTTCATTTGGTCTACAGTGTTCCAATCTTCAGTTTCCTTATTAATTCTCTGTCTGGATGATCTATCCATAGATGAGAGCAGGGCATTTAAATCCTCAATTGTTATTATATTACCATTTATTTCTCCTTTGAATGGTCTGTTAGTTTTGTTTCATATATTTAGGGGCTCCAATATTGGGTACACACATTTTTGTAATTGTTATATCTTCTCAGTGGATTGACTC